GACACAAGGACACGCTCTCCTGCCAGCCCCCCGGGCGCGTAGACTGTGGCGTCCTTTTGCCGATGAACTGCATGAAAGAGCCGTGTAACCTGGAGCGCCTGGGAACCGGGAGTAAACTGTGCTCCTCCTCACCTTCCTCCTCCTCCTCTTCATCATCTTGCCACCACCAGCGGCCGGCCCACGGGCGGCGAGGAGCGTGCAGAGACATGGGCGAATAACGTGCTTATACACGGGCGAATAACGTGTGTAAAGACGGGCGAAAAACGAGTGTAGACGCGGGCAAATAACGTGTGTAGAGAAGGACAAATAACGTGTATGTTTTCAGGCGAATAACCTGTTTCTCCATTGGAGAATAATATATGTAGATAAGCGGATAATTATATGTGGAAAAGACAATAACTTAGGTATCGTTAGGCGAATAATGTGTATGTGGGACAGACGAATAACATATATCGATTCGTGAACAATATATTTAGAATAGACAAATAACATATATATCGATAGGCGAATTATATATATACGGGATAGACGAGTGACATAGATATTGATAGGTAAATTACATATATATAGGATAGACCTAATAACAGATATCCATAGGTGAAATACATATATGTATATATGGGATAGACGAATAACATAGAATCGATAGGTGAATTTTATACATGTATATGTGTGTGTATATATGTGTGATAGAATAATATAGATATCGATAGGTGAATAATATCTCTATATATATCCTCTGTATATATTCTCTCTATATTGTATCTCTGCATGGGCGGGAGGAACAGCCCGTACTTCGCGAGGCGGGTGCCTTGCTCCCGGGGTGGGGCGCTGCGCAGCCTCTCTCTCTCTCGGCAGAAAAGACACTGCAGCCTGAGGTGCCCGTGTTTTTTTTCTCTCGTTTCCTTTCTTCTCTTCCTTCGCAGAGAAAGATAAGAGCCAACAGAGCAAGAACGAAGATGCCGGGTCTGAGGACCCCTCCAAGAAGAAGAGGCAGCGGCGGCAGCGGAGCCAGCAGCTGCAGGAGCTGGAGGCCACTTTCCAGCGCAATCGCTACCCGGACATGTCCACCCGGGAGGAAATCGCCGTCTGGACCAACCTCACGGAGGCCAGGGTTAGGGTATCGCCCGCCGCTGACTGCGGTTCCGGGCGGCCGGGCCGGGGCGGGCAGCGGGGGCGCCGCCGCGTTTGCAGCTGCTTTCGATTTCGGTTTGTACTGCGAGCTCGGGCCGCCGCGCAGAGCGGCGCGGCACAGGACGGCGCCGGCGGAGCGGGACAGAGCGGGCGCGCTCGCTCCCCTGGATGGGCTCAGCGCACGGCTCGCCCTCGCCGCGCGAAGCGTCCTGCGCGTGCTGAGCGAAACGCTACTGAAAACATTAGCCAAGAGAGCGACTTGGAACAGGCTGCAACCTGCGCTGCCTCTAATGAGAAAAAGATGTAAAACACACAAGGGCTTTTACTTAACTCGGCGGCACTCGCGACGTGCCCTTCCTTGCATTTTCCTTCCTTCGCTTCCCTAGTGCTGCCGGCATGCTCTCTGCCCTTTCTGCTCCGAGATTTATGGCACCAGCAGCGCCTGAGCCCCCTTCTCTTGCTCAGAAGCGGGGAGGGGGCGCCGG